GTATGTCCCCCCACGTTCCCTGAGGTCAGCGGACCAATTGCTCCTCACAGTTCCAGGAACTCGTCTTAAGCGCAGAGGTGCCAGGGCCTTCTCTGTAGCAGGACCAAGACTTTGGAACAAGTCTGCTTGTCAGACTGGCCCTCTCCCTCTCGGTTTTCAAATCCCATTTAAAAACTCACTACTATTCAGTAGCTTTCAACACCAGAGGATCTGTGTTTTGAACCTGTACACTCCACACTGGTTTGTCATTATATTTGTTACCTGCATCGTTTTTATGTCTACATTCTGATTTACTTCATTTTGTATATTGCTTCGGTGTTGTCTGTTGCTCTGTCTGTACAGCACTTTGGCTGGCCTTGTCGCTGTTGTAAGTGCTCTATAAATAAAATGGTATGGTATGGTACGGAAATGTTGAGGTTCTCCTAGAACCTACCTACAATGATGGATAAGATTAGGAATGAGATCATCAGAGGTACAACACAGGTTGAACAACTGGGAGATAAAGTTAGAGAGGCCAGACTGAGATGGTTTGTACATGTCCAGAGGAGGGACAGTGGGTATATTGGTAGAAGGATGTTAGAAATGCAGCTGCCAGAAAAAGACAAAGAGGAGATGGATGCAGTTAGAGAGGACATGGAGGTAGTTGGAGTGAGAACAGAGGATGCAGAGGACTGAGTGAGATGGAGGAGGATGACTTGCTGTGATGACCCCTGAAGAGGAAAAAGCCGAAAGAAGAAGTATGCATCTGCCTTACTCAGCAAGGCTATGGTAACATTTTTAACACAAACCATTCACTTGTTAGGCTGTCACTGTGGAATTACATTTTTATTATGTACATACAAAGCAGTGTGAGCTAATAAGGTAATATTTTTTCTACATGTCAGTGCAGGCTTAAGAGGATTTCGTTAGTTATCTTAAGTCGAGCTTGACCGAACCTGATAACGCAAATTTCCTCTGGTTTCAGAACTCAAACGTAAAACTGTTGCCAATGAATTTAGTGGCACATTTACTCATATTTTTCAAAGTAAGAAGAGTGTGTGTTTTTTTTTTTAACCTGGCTCTGATCTAATCCTAACTCCAGTTCTTGTTTCATTTAGCCTCTTCACCATAGCACTCAAACGTATGAAACAGAAATGTATTTTTGTGTCAGTTATAAATGTACAGACAAATATGATGGATCAAAACTTGCCTCAGGGTACTTACAATATTTACAACGTATAACACCTTCTATCCCAAGGCCTCAGTTTGGATCCAGATAAACTTCTCTCCCAATAAACCCTTCACAGCAGAGAAAAAAAATACAAGTAACATTCTTAGAAGGAATCTGTCTGTCAGCAAGGACAGAAAAAGCAATAAATATAGTCTTTGCACAGACGGAAGTACAATAAACATTGGGGATGAATGATCCTGCAGAATCTCAGGAAACTTCCAGGTGTTGTGAAACAGATAGGACTTAAGCCAGATCATCTCCACTCCAGCATGAAGAGATGACACAAAACACACGAGGCTCACAAAGACTCCAACACACCACATGACATGTAGGAGAGAAGTAAACAAGCTGAAATCTCACTATTTTTTTTATTTGTCGAGTTTTGTCAACCAAAATGACAAACAGATATTCTGTATGTGTGATAATATTTTTTAAATACCACAAGTTTGTACTTTCCAGACTTAAAACTTTGCTTTTTTTTCTGGCTTTTTAGGAATAAAACTCAGTCAGTTATAGAATGTCATATTAGAATCAATGGGGAAAAAAGTGTTTTATTACACTTTGTAAATATGTTTTAAATATACTGACTTAATCATTTAAAAGAGCATTTGGGAACAATTTTGGGAGATTTACAGATCTTAAAAACATGTTGTGGCCTTGCACCCCTCCTGAACAAAACAATTGGAGGTTAAAGCACCTGTGAGCTGCTACAGATATGATGTCTGGCTTTAGTTTTTTCAGCCTGCTAATGGATTTTATCTTAGAGCTGTCTGGTTATAGACTGTTCTCTCTTTGAAACGTGCTGTCTGATCTATTACGACTTAAATCAAATTTAAATCTGTCTTCATAAA